GGCGTAAAAATATAAATTAACTGCGCTATATTTTCAAAAATTTTCATACGAAGTAGTATCTTCTAGTCCGATTTCTTTCAGCAACTTTGCGTGAGCTCTTCGTTATTTATTTTTTAAATAAAAAAATTTCACCCAAAACCTCTTGATTTTTTTTTTTGTTAGAATCAATAATTAATTGCAGCTGCAGTACATTTTTGATCTGACATGTTTCGCACCAAATATTGCAATCAATCATCTACGCCCTAAATATCATGAGCAAATATGCACGAGCTAAACTGATCTGGGTAGATTAGATCTACGTGCTCTCTAAGCGTCTAGTTTGAGAAGTTCTACTCTAGCTAGATTTTTCCCTGTTGTGTACACTGTAGAGGTACCTTAAGATTGTTATGTGGACATTAATTCATTTTTAATTCATACATTATTATTATTCAATTTCAACATAACATACTAAAGAATTATATAAGATTCGTATAAAATAATTTTTTTACCTTTTCAACACGGCCTCCGGTTAATAGTAACATTGGTGGTGACCTCCCAAGACTTAAGCCCAGCACCGGTTACGGCGTAATACTGAATTGTGCTTAATATGATACCGTGTTGAATCACAGCACCTGGTAGACTTATCATATTATTGTGTTTGGTCGTTGAAAACAGAAATGACCGGTTTCGACCATTCGTGACTCGAACAAACCTCACGCCGGATGATTAATTATTTTTGCTTTAAAACAAATAAAAATCACCTTAACCATGCTGTAGTCGCGATGGTTGGCCATTGAAACTTATGTATTAATGCGTGCATGTTCTCCGGCAGTACATATTACTTATTAAAACGTTGTGCTAACGTTCGGCTAACAGAAACAAAGCCACCGAATTCCGGAATCATTGCTGCAGTAAACGTATTATAGTAATCGATTTCGTAAACAGATACGGGATAAAGGATCAATAACCGTAGGCTTCCGTAAGCATGTTCACATACGCGTTCGTATATATCAGAACTAGCGTCTTTCTACGCAAATAATATGCATACTCGCATCATTACGCGTGATTATAGACCATTTCATTGCCATACATCGTGTCACGATTCAAACGAATAGGTCTGGACTTCGATCGAGAACCAAAAAACTAAAAACTGACGGCGTTTATTAAAATAAATAATTTTCTCTTTATGATGTTCAGATGAAAATGATCAGATACACTGAAGGTTATAATCAGGCGTTTACTCAATAGGGGACTATGGGGGATGAATAACCCCTACCGTAGTCCTTAGATGCATAAAGTATTTCAAAGATTACTCTAATATTAAAGTTATTTATTACAGTATAGAGGAGAGTTACTATACTTATAACATAAATATAATATGCTTATTGACATTTAAGAGTGATTGATAATCATGATTATTTTTAATCCTTAATATTCCTAACCTAAAAGGCTAAAAACAAAGGATTTTTCAAACTAATTTACTAATACGAGTAAATTGTGATTTTTTTTTTCAATAAACCAAATATTTTGTACTCTTTTCTATGCTATTTTATAATGTATGCAATAGACGGTTATTTTGATTTTAAAATTGTTTATTATTATTTTATAATACGCATGTATGATTATTATTGTCACCATTATTGGTTGACAACAATGACAATCATATAATTTTATTCACTTTAAACCTCCTGTGGATAGGAATCAAAATATTCCACTGTTCCTCAGTCAGTAGTAAGAGACGACTTAATGAGGTTGCGTTAGGTTGAAAGCCGGTGTAAACATTTTGTCAAAGAATATGAGGAGTCCGAAAAAAAACTTGGGAGGTTTTTCCCTTCTTGAATGTGCACGAAGACGACAAGTGAGCGGAAGTATCATAGAGAAGATGGTGGTATGGATGATGAAGAGTATGATACCAGCCGGACAGCCAGTGTGGTATCTGTTTGACGAGTTGTGTGTTGAGGTCTACCCAACACTGGCAATGTCAACGGTGTAGGGACGTCACCATAGCGCTCCAGGTTGAATCTGCGTCTAAGTATAAGAGATAGGTATACAGTGAAAATAGACACGTGTCATGTTGGAAAGTTAACAGGTAGAAGTAGAGAATTTGGGGGAAGTATTGAAGAGGTGGGATGTTAATATTTGTTGTGTTCATGAAACCAAGTGAAAAATAGAAAAACTAAAAAAAAAAATAGGACAGGGCTATACTTGTATACTCAGGTAGGAGTTGGATTGGTGCAATGTTGGATGAATAATCTTATACTTAAGTACGACTCGCAGAACATTTACCTGATTAACAACAAGCGCATTTCACCAATGATAATGTAGTAGAAGCTTTAATGCACGCAGAGATGAAAAGTACTACATTAATAGGATGATTAAATTTATATAAAAATAAAAAAACTAAAAGTCTAAATAGTTATCTCGAGACTTATATGCATTATGTTTGGATTGGGAATCAATGGAAAGAACGAGTTAAATATTTGCCAATCAATGGCAGAATGTACCATTCATCACCTTTGGATGGTGAACGATATTAACGGTTGCTTGGACTGGAATAGTATGTTGTTTCCCGGAGGTCGCGCAGTGCATAATCGATTTAAATTACCTTTGATTTTGACAGATACTTCAGTTTCATCATTGAAGGTTAATAGTAAAGAGGTATCAGCTATTCGAAAATCAAAATTTATTATTTGGGACGAAGCTCCTATGGCAAGTGCGTATACAGTAATAGTCGTTAATCGATTATTAAAAAATATAATTGAAAACGATGTTTTGTTTGGTGGAAAAGTTAATGCCTTGGGAGGAGATTTTAGACAAGTTCTACCAGTTGTCTCACATAGCTCTAAACAGCTTACTATTCAAAACAGTATAAATTATTCTTCGATTTTACCATATTTTAAAATTCTTTAACTATTTAGAAATATGTGAGTAAACTAAAATAAAATGAAATTTTCTATGTTTTTGTTAAAAATATCCACTAATAAATATTGACATTGATGAATATTCAATTGAAATAAAACGATCGTTATTTTCAAGTGATATAATAAAATACGTATTTGGAGATATTATTTTTAATTTAGAAAATGTATCTATTTTTCACAATTTGCTATTCTTGCACTTAAAAATTAAAATTTTGATGAAATAAATGGTACAATTTTTAATATGTTTCGAGGACAAGAAAAACGTCTTTATGTTTAAACATAGTGTCAAAAGAATGTGACGTAATACTATTGATCAATTTAAATGTAATGTCCAATCTAAAGAATGATACAAGTTTTATTGAACGAAATATGTACGACCATTTTTTAGACTTAAAATCAATAACTGGTCAGCGTATTTTATTGCTTAGGATTTATTTTACCCCATTTACTCTTCCCTTTTCATTTACTAGGCGTCAATCTCCAATGAGAACAGCTTTTGCTATGACAATCAACAAAGCATAGTGTTAAATATTGGATAAAGCAGGGTTGTGTTTACTCCAACCTGTATTTAATTATGGTCAACTTTATGTTTCTATGTTCAAAATTTGACCTTTTGAAAAATTAAATGTACAAATAATACCAAACAACAAAAAAAGATATAATGAATATAGTAGGTATATAAAGAAATTCTATAATAATAATTCACAAATTCATTTACATTTTCATTTGCTTATTATTTTTTTCGTATGGAGTGAAATATTAGCAGTTTTCCCGTATGTAAATGTCTTGCGTTTATCTATAAATTTACTTAAAACTTGAGAAATTAATTAATTTTCCATTTTATGTTTTTCCTAAACATTAATTGTATATTATTATAACAATATATACATAATTTATATTTATTTAATTATTCAATACTTATTATTATTATTTTTTTTACTGTTACCCGACATCGACGTAATTCAGCTGATTAAATATTAAAAATTAAAACAAATATTGATTGATAATAGTTTAACGCTTGTTTTAAATCTACGTACGATAACAATGCATCGTTTTGATATGATAAAATATGTTTATATAAATACATAATATTTTAAAATAATAATAAGGTTCTTCTTCTTATGACTTTTGTATAAAACTAAAAATGAAGTGTGTGTAACCGAAAATGTGCCCCTTTTTACTAAATTTTACTCTCTTTGAGGCGTGAGGTTAATAAGGGGATGATGTAATATGTTAAAATTTAACCAAAATTATTTATTTAAAACAATGAACATATTTTAGAGGTCATTGCAGCTAAGTATAAGAAAAAAAAATAAAAAAATTACCTTTATAGCTAAGCACCTCCCTAATATATATATATATGAACATCGGGCACTTTTAGGATATATGTGCTGTACGTTACGGCTAAATTTGAAAATAAACTGAGTTATTAAACTGAGAAAAGTGTTCCTATATCTTTAGCTAATAATATTCCGAAAGGGACTAAGAAGTTGATACAGTGTATTGTATAAAAGAGATCAATTTTTAATGTCACTTGTAAAAATATTGAAATAAAGCAATTTCCTGTTCTTTGTGACTGTCTCTACTGCAGTATCCGTGGCGTGAATCCATAATGTTTTTGATGGCAAAAATCTATTACGGACGAAAAGGAAAAATACTATCATAAGACATTATGACAATATACGAGTATAACCTATAGGTCAAATTATATTTAGTTAATTTTTTGGTTGAGGAAAATACGAAAATATGAAATTTATTAAGTGAAATAAAAATAACAATCAACGTTTTTTTTTTCCTCGAGTAGAATTTTCTACTCATTTACTACTGTAAAATAAACCCATTCCGTATTTATTACGGCTTGTCAAATGTATTTTATAACAACATAATTAAATTTATTGTTTTTTGCTTACACTTTATTTGATTACTGTACAATTTAGTTTTAATGACAGAATTAAAATATCTGCTGTTCTGCCAAAAGTGTAGTATTATTATGTATTATTACTCGTGTACATTTCTCACTGTACAGGTAGATAAGTAATGATATTATAAAAGACTTATATAAAAAAAAAATTAAATATTAAAAAAAAAATACAACAGATATTACATTTTAAAATAATTTCATATATCATTGTATACTTAACGTAGTTAGAACGGTGTGATTAACAGTGTTATAATGTTATGCGCACTAGGATATTTCTCGGTAGGTACTTTAACGTATTTGACTATGTGCGCGTGCGTATGACCGGTGTTTCTGGTTGATTCGTGTGTATCATTTTAAAAAGTGATTAGAAATCGAAATACGACGAGATATTCAAAATATGGCCATCAACAGTTGTTGTAACTTGAAGTGTTCCTCGGTCGGTATAGGATTTTTCAAGAATTTTGATAAATGATTCGCGATATATCAGCAGCTGTACACGGTATTACTTTTTGTTCTTTTTTTTTTATTTATTTACGTAACGAATCGTAATAATGAACGATGAAGTTAAGAATAAAAATAAATTACGTTAAAATTGCCAAAAACGTACATAATATTATAATACTTTATGGAATATTTAAAGCCGTCGATGCGTACTATCTAAATACCAACACCATAATGTAACATAATAGATAGGTATTATAACGAATAATATAACGTGCTTATAAAACCGTAGACTTGAAATTAAATAGATTTCCATGTCTTCAACAATCTCCTCTCCGATTAAAATCAACGCAATAACAATAATTAATGATTTTATTCAAACAGATATTTTAATAACGATATATGACTAAATAATATTGAACATTTCGTACTTTTCGACTGGTAACATTTGTTTGCACTGCATTACTAACATAATCGATGTGTTTACAGGTACAAATTATTATTATTAGAGTTTCCTACATATAACTACTATGTATATAATTACTTATATTTATATTAGTGGTGTGTTTATTCCGACTGAATACGAGCAACGTCTATCGTTTCCAGAACAGGGTTATCTTCGTCCACGGTCTTGGTGGTTCTGATTATTTTCGTGTACCTCGTTACTCCATTCATATTGCTCATCGTCGCGTCATTGACGGGAGCGTTCACGGCGGTCGCAGATCCCATTGAATAGTCCGTATTCGCCGTTTCATCGATCTGTTCGAACCCGAAATGACCGGAATCACCGCGGTCACCGCGCAGCTGATACACTCCAGACGATACCGTGTTTATCCCGTCAGACTGCATACCCATGAACCCATGCGGAGCCGTCGGTGGCATCATTCTTGCGAACGCGATTTTGGAAAAGTCGTTTTTGAAATCACCAAACCGCGAAACAGAGTCTCCTGACGGTGGCGGATGTTGGCTTGCAGCTGAACCTTGTAGATGTCGCGCTCCGTACAGTTTGAAAAACGGACGAGAACCGGACAATTCATTGATCTGCGGACCCGGTGGACCACCCAAACGTCGTGCACCTTGGTCCATGTTGTCGGCGGTCAGAAGTAGATCCGATAGATCGGCCTTGCGGTGTTGCGCATCCGTCATCCTTTCACCAGCGATCGATTTCCACCGTCCGTTGAAAAACACCGGCTGAGCAGAGTCCGTCGCAGACGGTTGGTTGTCGTCACTCCCCGCGGGAACGCGGTTTTCTTTTTCGCCGGTGCTCTCATCGCTCAAATTTCTCCGGCTCAACGACCGTTGTTGTCTCTTGCAGTTGCACACTTTGGACTCGTGCTGATGCTTGTTCGCATCGTTCGTATAGCTCTTCGTAAATGACGACGAAGTCTCCGGCGACTCGATCACGTACACCCTTGACGAGTACAGTTTACCGTCAGCGTTTTGACGTCCCGACGATCTTGCGGTTCTTGCCATACTTGTTCTTTCATCGCTTCCACTACCGCTTATTCCACCACTACTTCCACTACCGCTCATTCCACCACTACTTCTACTACCGCTTATTCCACCACTACTCCTACTACCACTCATTCCACCACCACTTCTACAACCGCTGCTCAATTCACCACTTCTTTTACTGTCACCGCCACCAATACCACTCTTTTTCCCATTCACTCCACTTCTCCTTCTAGTAGCCTTTCCCCCACTATTGCCTTTATTCATTCCCATCACGTTCCCATTCGTTCCTGTTCTCGTTCTCATTCTGTTCCCATTTATTCTTCTTTTTCTTCCGCCGTTTCTTTTTCCATTTTTGTTTCTACCATTATACGTTATATTTTTTACCAAAATTTTCTTTGATCTTCCACGTTTAGATTTTTTCATACGATTGTTACCATTAACTTTTCTAAAACCGTTGCCGCCCACTCCCTGCGTTGTCACTAAAATATAACCCCCAGGCCTAAATCCGTCTATATGTTCCATATTATCAGCAAACACCATATTACCATTATCTTGATTTGTGGTGGTTAAAATATTATCTAAATCCATGTTACCATTTAGTTGACCCATTTTATCATCAGCATTGAAGCTGATCATTGGGCCGTTTAACTCATTATAATCGGTCTCGTCATTCGCTTTTTGTAGTTCGACCGTATTCGTTTGTGTTTGTCTTGATGCACCGTGATTTTTGGATAAATTAAGACCAGGATATGAGGCCGAAGACCTGGATTCATGGTTCGTTTGGGTTGTGGTTCCAGACTGAGATAGTGAATTCGCAAAGCTGTTGGGTTTGTTTTCACGATTTTTTCGTTTTCGTGGTGAGTCGCTTCCGATCTGAGTACCGATGTTGAAATCATCTCCATTGATCGAAGTGGTTTTTTTCAATTGGCTATACACCATGGGTTCTATTTCGACCACAATATTATTAGCAGGTCTTACGAATTCCGCGTTAGATTCATTGTCGTGTTTTTCCAAGTCTCCCAGATGGTCGTCATTGTTGTCGTCGTCGTTTTCATCGTCGTGTATACTCTCGTGTTTTATTATTGTCGTTTTCATTCGTTTAAACGGTTTATTACGAGGTATCTGTTGTCGGCGTTTACCGTTACGATCATTCCCGTCCGTTATGGCGGTTGACGTTGTTTCAAAAATTCCATCTCCGTCTATTGAACTGGATCGCAAACTGTCGGTAGTGATGCCGTTGTAATCGGATTTCAAAGGGCTCAATGTCAACATGATATTATTCGAAGGCATTGAATCTACTAGACCCTGCACTCCATTTGCAGATCCGCTCCCCGAGTCGTTCGACGCGTCTCTCTCATTTGTAGTGGTGGTTTTCGTCACCGTTGTTCGCACTACGTTCTGCAAACCATCCGATAGTTTGGAACCTTGCTGAATAGACATCGATGGCATTCTAACATTTCCCGCTCGATCGACTTGAGACACAGTTCGAGATTCGGACATCATGTCGTTGTCAATTCCGATGATCTGCAAATTACCGCTGTCCAACATCTCATTCCCCGACTGACTGGATCCCAGGGCGGAACTTTGTTCGCCGTTCTTACCACCACGTTTTATTACCATTTTCTTCACTACTTTTGTGTAACTGATCGGCTTTTTGGACGGTGAGAGCGACGGAATTAAGGTTTCGTCGAACATATCGTCGTCGTGATGTGTTGTTTCGTATTTGGTTAATGAATCACCGTCGTGGTGAACTACCTCAACACTCCGAATAATGTTTTTATTATTATTATTATTCGAAATCGTCTTGCTCAAACCGTTCGACTGTAACATGTTAGTTTGCAATTGCGACACAAATTCAGGATTGTTTTTTCCCACAGCGTTCAAATGATCTAAGAAATCTGAATGATCCACTTCATTGATGCTACATGAATGGTCTGATTGTCCTGTGTGATGTTCAAAATTATGTAAGTGGTCCATGGGAAATGGTAACTGTCCGTTTTCGATGCCATGATTGTCTTCGCATTTCGCCAACAGGTTCTGCGTTAGCTGTACCAAGAAAAACAATTTTAGACGTTGCACAGTTTACAAATGAAATCATTCTAAACGGTTACAAATAACAAACATACGATCAAGTATACAAACACAAATATCCTACAGGAGTTATTACGGAATGTACGCATATTGTGTTCTAAGGTTATTCTTTCCGGACGGATTACGTTATTAACTTTTCGTGATGCATTTTTGGTCATGTCGTTCGTTCGTTTTGGAAATAAGACGCCACGCATACGGTTATGATTTTATACACAGCACCCATCACAATCCGATTCAACTTACCAATATCGCGGTGATCACGCGTACACTGGTCCCAGCATTCATCATCGCGTGTTGTCGCCGCGCGTGACTGCGTGTAGATACTATGCGGAAATGCCACGCTCATGACGCGTTATATCCTAATAACGCTGTCCGCGATGGTTTCGCGGATCCGCGTGTATGTCAACGAGTCACCGTTTGTCAACGATAATGACGCGTGTTCCTTTAATTAATACACAAATGTTCGAACGTTGTAACAACAATAATATCGTGTAAACGGCTTCATGAGCAAATAACATAGGAAAAAAAAAAAAATTTAAATAAAAAAGACATGTCTGTTCAAACTCCATGTGGATCCAACGCAAATAACCACCACGCAATAACGGAGTAAACCGATTAACGGTCGCGCAATGTTTGTCAAACGTTTTATGTTTCGCGTTCGTTTCTCCGTCCGACAAACAGATCGAACGTTATTTAAACATCATAAAATTCATCATGGTTCGCATTATGCCCGTACACGTTCCAATATCGTTACGCGGGACAACGAGCATTACGTTTTTTACGCAACACATTTCGATCGCAAAAAAAGGGGAATTTTTCAAAATTTGAATTTTTTATTCCCCCTTCCCCTCAAGGTTTTCGTAAACATGTTTTGGAAACCAACGCGTACAACAAGCACGAAGCGTAACAGCGTAACGCGAATGTGGATCAATCAATGAGACGCGCGTCTCGTGACAATAATTACCGGCGAATACGTTTCGTATGCGTTCGAAATGATATTACCGGTAGAATATCGAAACGCAATAACGGCGTGGATATAAAATATCACATTGCGCATGAAATCATAAATGTTTCTCGTATAAACGTGTTCGAACCGCGATTTCATTGTGAAATATGCACGTGGTAATACTGCAGTCGGTCATAACCAAGCAAAACTTTTTGTATTTCGTTAACGACAATTTTTTCCGGATTCAAACCTTCCCCCTAAGGGCCAAAAAAAAAAAGAAAAGAAAATTGTTTTATTATTGATGTAATATATTCGTAGTTTCATTATTACGCTTTGAACTTAAAATATACAACTATACAAATATTATGATAATTAAATAATTATATTGATAGATAGGTGTTTGAAAAGTTTTGTTAACTATGCTGTTTTTATTAGAGCTCTTAAAACACGTGTCACGGAATTCACGTGTACACGTGAAATACATGTTTATCCAAAATATATATTCATTTTTACAATGGTAAAATTAGTAATTTTATGTTATACACTTGAAGTTTTAATAAAATATTAATAGTACAGTATTAAGTTAAGGATATACGTTTTTATTTTGGATTTTACACGTGACACGTGACACGTGAATTCCGTGAATTCACGTGTATTAAGAGCTCTAGTTTTTATATTCCAGTAGCTATTAATTTACTGTAATGTAAAAGTAAACTGTAAATTGGTAAAAAAGTTGTATAAAATAATATTTATTTATAGCAGTTATTTATCTTATTTATCTGTGCAACGAAAAAAAAAGATAACGATTATTTTTTGTTTAACCCCCCCCCCCCCCCCCAGAGCAAGATTGAATGTACGCCACTGTCGTGTAGTGCATAACATATAGATACGTATCACTTCGACACCTCTGGCGAAACACGGTTAACGCATTTTTTGAAACCACGTTTTTGCATTAATTCGGCAATTCGCGACCAGAAACTCGTGACGAGAGGAATTAATACTAATAAATAATTGGCATAATGGTATAAAGCGAATTCTGAGGACGGGAGAATGTAAAAACACCTAACCGAGAATGGTATTTTGTCGAATTTTCAGCTTTCGGTTTTCGAGGCTATGGCGGGACGAACAACATGATGACAACAACTGATGAAAACGGTCGGTTATTTTTATTGGATAGATAACCGAATGGAATAACGCGCGGCCAAGACCGACGCAATGTGATACAACGGGTAAGAAGTCCGTACAGGGTTGGCGCCAGAGCCTTGGTTTAGGGGGGGAAGTTATAATATGTATATTCGAATAAACGCTGATTTAGCGGCACTCCACACGCATACACACGTATCTTCCGCCCAAAGGGTATCCCCCGACTATTTTATACATTTATCCTTTCACAACGATTTGTCTATGATAAAGTTTCGAGTACGTTTCCGTCAAAAGTACTTGGCCACACTTGCACATAGGTTGAATACGCGTACACATAATCAAATCGTCCATAGAAGCGGTTCGCATCTCGTGAAACCATGTATTTCATCCCTTGTGACGGTAAAAATGGTATGAAGAAAAATCGAAGTGACTATTCATTATTTTGAAGCCGTGGCGACGGGACTGGGGGGAAGGATGACGATGATTCATTCCCGTGCGTAAAATATTAAATAGTGTAAGTTTTGTAGTATATAATCTATCATTGACTACTAGTTTGATATTCTTAACTTAAAGTGTTTAAATTTCCTAAAAATTATTGTTGAATGTTAATAATAAAAAAAAAAATGTTAAGAAAAGGTGTTCGATTGTTGATATAGCGTGATATTAATGTTTTCCCCAAATGTAAAGATTCCTTGTTCCGCGTCTGTTCGGAGGTCGGTGGTATGTTTGCGTCGGACCGAACAGTATTTTCGTGAGATCGGACGATACGAATTACGTCCCCGGGCACGTGGTGACGAGAAACTTAAATGCTGCGCGGGAGACCATCAGTGCCGTGACTGCACTCCGTGGCGCTCTTGGCGAGTTTTGTTTCGGCGCTCATTTCATGTGGTAAGACCGATTCGAATTCAACTCAAACGTGCCCCCTTACTTTGATGAAAGCAACCGTCAATTTCACCGACATATAGTTACGGCGCTGGATACATTATCGTTATCCTTCAACGTCTGTGTCCGTTGTCAAATCGTCACTTCAACGCAATTCGGTGTTCCAGAGGTTTTCCGCACGCTCCGTCCGGTCACCCCATCACGTTGAAATCCCTGCGTTTCATCTGAGGACGTCCGAATAAATCGTAGATCTTTTCCCTCGTTTCTACTCGTCCACGGGGTATCATGTTGTCTCCACACAGCTAGTAATAATTAATCGTATGATTTTCTCGCCCTCCTCACCACCGGCGAATTTTCAACGTTATTCTGAGCATTGTTTTTCACCCGTCGCAGTCGCCACTTTTCGGATTTTTTCTGCGGATTACAATGGCGCGCACTTATCGTTTGATTACCATTTTTTATGATTCACACGATCGCATTAATCTAACGCATAGACGTTTTTGTGTTTTTATTCGCACTCGCGTGAAGCGCTGCGAAAAAAAAACAATCTCCGAAAATACTTCTTAGCCTTGAGAACGTATTTAAATAGCCACTTGGAATGCTATTCCCAAATGTTTGCTTCGAATGATACTGTGAAGATAAAGCTGTCGCAGTAAGACGATTATTTGGTCGACTATCATACGTAATAATATACACACCACGGTACCTTCGACACGCCACTAAGTGTAAATATTAATTTTCAAATAAAAAATAAAATATACATATATTTGAAATAATAATAACTCGGGAAATATTTATAACAATTATAGGTTTTATGGATGTGTAATTAAACTTCGGTTCTCGAGTACTTTACAACACTTTGTAGACACAACAATCATATAATACGTATGGGAAAAAAAACAACTGTTATTTTTCAAAATACATATTAGATTTTTTTTTTTTATTGACAAACAAAAGCAAATTTTTTACTTACCAACTTGTTTTGAAGCCGATATTGTCGTCCTCTATTTGCGGACCTCGGTTTAATCTAATCAAACTGCACAATTTCACCGACAGTCAATTAATAAATGTTCTTCGCAAACATTTTTTTTTCAAATTTTACCATACATACGTGTGATACGAAATTCAAACATTTCTCTCGATTGTAAAACGTATATTGCTACTTTTTGTGGACTCGATACGTTTTTATCGTATAAAATAAACTCCCTTTTAGTACCTTTAAATTTCACTAAATGTATGTTTTTCGTTTGTTTGAATTTCGTGTATATAAGGAGCGTTTTAAAAATGAATAGCAAAAAATAAAACAAGATCAGGACGATGAATAGTAATAATATATTTTTATTATATTGAAATAACGTAAGACATAATACATTATATTGGAAAAAATCTTTATTAAATGAACATTTTATCTGATATCAATTGTTGAAATCCAATGTTCTGGACGTTGTTTGCGTTAACATCAGCACTCTTCGATCACTGATGACTCTATACACTTTACGAAAGATAAAAAAAATTATTTCACTTTATCACATTTGTTTTCGACTATTGTATCACTGTGTGATGGAATGAAGTTTTAACCAAACGCGTTTTAACTGTATTCGATTTCGTATTATAATTATTGTTATACACGCATGAAGTTTTTTTCTTATCGTTTGAGTGAAATACAAGTTTGTGATTTGGTTTCATTAGAGAATATGGTAAAAAACACGTCAGGTCGTTTGAAAGAGTTTTTATTAACTGAAAAATTCGAATAACAACACCGAAGGAACCGCATATGCAGTGTGCAATACATTTATAATATTCGCGTGTCATATTTTGTACGACTGTGATTGGAACGTGCATAATTTATTACGCAATAACATAACTTCGATTGAAACATCGTATGAGTTTTTCGTTTCGGCCGATCACCCAAGCCTAATCCAAGCGGACATATTTTTTAACCACTCGGACCTTCGTAGAACTTTGACCGTTAAAATTCAGTTTTCGTAGTAAACGTATACGGCCTAAAAATTCCAATTCCAACCCCATTTATCCACTGTCTGAATCTGCCCCTTAACGGCGAGTCGCGCCCGTAACGGTATATTATTTTATTCGTCGTACGATGTGTACTTACGTCAAAATCGTCGGTACTGCTGAACCGTCGGACCGGAACTCCCTGTTTGTTCACCAAGAATTTGGTGAAGTTCCATTCGATTTCTCTGAAAAAAAATACAAATCGTCACCGACATTTTATTACTACCCCGACCACCGGTTGTAGGAAATGTTTGTATCTTTGCGGACTGCTTACCTTGTGCTACTGGTGGACGTCGTTTTTTTGAGATACTTGTACAACGGTTCTTCGGAGGAACCGTTCACATCGACCTCGGAACACACGACGAACTCGGGATATTTCTCTGCCAGCTGATAGCCCGCTTCGTTACCGCGGGGGTTCTGCGAGAAACAGATCGATAATGCAACTCGTGTAAGACGTGATCTTATGATAGTATAATTTATAATAACGCGCGTATGGCGCGTTTTTATTTATCGGGATCAACGCAATGGACAGGGATCGAGCGCGTGGTGCGAAGTTCACGAGTCTACTTATTAACAGGACGCGGCCATGCGACAACAACACATTAGTGTTCTACAAAACCGTGCGACAACCGCAGAGGGTTTTCAATCGGCTGGTAGACCATAATGTTAAAAACTCATATCGTACAAAATTGCTCTTAAACTCGTGGGTCAGGCTCTCGCATGACCTGAAACATTGAACACGAACCGTCCAGGAACGGGGTGATGGATTATTACTAAATAATTTGTAAGTGGAATACCTGTGGAATCGGTTTTATTTCGTCGCAACATTGGATTTTATATCCGTAAACGAAGACGGTCATTGTTTTCATTATCATGGTAGAAACGCTTTTGTTGTCGCGTTGTTCGAATCGCACCGGAGCGTGTGTAGAAATCATGTTCTCCATAATCGATATTTCAAATATTTTCTGTCCCCGTAACCCGAAAACAGGTTTTTCATGTAAAAAGCGTACACCTCCGCCCCCTAATCACCGTATGATTTTCTTGTGCGGTACACGTTCAACACGATCGGCGGGCACTTGTGTTTTTCATATCATCTCCCATGCGCACCTCACCGACCGATTGTGCGATTCGAACGTCGATGCGTTCAACGTATGAGGGCCGTGACATTCGTGATGGCCGTCCGTCGCGAGGTGTCCTGTACTTTTGACGTTCTCGGGGGCTAAGGATGCGCACGAAAGCTGCGGACGGGTGAACGCGATCGTTTCAATGACGTTATTAATATTATCATTGTTAATCGATCGCGTGCCGTTGACTCACCTCATCGAAACTGTTGCTGGGGAAGATGAGTATCACGAGACCCTGGCTTTTGTATTTCTTGGACAATGCTTTGAGTCCTTTCACGTTCTTATCGGTTAAACCGCACGATTCCGCGTAGTTCACGATCAACAACACTTTGCCCCTGCACCGGTGAAAATCAAAAGTCCGGGTGAAGTAGCCGTATGTGCACGGGACAGGATAACAGGGACGCGTTATTGTTTGGGCTATACTCACGAGTACTGTTGCAAGCAAATGTCTTCTCCGTATACATCCTTCACGGTATAACTGTAGACGGTAGATCCGGCGCATTCAACGCTCGTCGAGGAACCGCTGTAGTCTTCGTCGGCGCAAGACGAAGTCGACTCGGAACCGGGATGATGAGAACGAGGATGGGGATGATGAGGAGGATGGTGCGGAGGAGGAGGAGGAGGAGGAGAAGGAGGAGAATTAGGTTTGCACGATTGTGTATGTTGCGATGTCTGGAGAAAAAAATAAACGTTACAATTACACACACATATACAAAATAAAAATAAATAGTACATGACAAAATAATAGACGATTATTAGGTTCAAACCTAATTTTTTTTTTCGTTTTTCGGGTTTCTTCGTTTTTCTAACTGTTGAAAAATTCAAAAAAAAAAAACAAATATCCCAGCTGTAACCGATTCCTTATATTTTATATTTATTTGTGATGATCAGAGCAATCCTACTGATCTAAATCATGTACAGATTCAAAAATAAAAAACAAACACACACATAAAGGTTAAACGAAAATACATTCCTCGTTTCACTCGAAATCCAAATAAAAATTGCTTGATTAAATCTACCGAAATCTTAGCGCTGCAGATACAGTTCATAGCTCAAGGTCGACGTGATTGACCATGCGAAACGTTTTCTTAACTACGAATTCGACTTCAAAATAAATTAATCGAATATATATTCGAACTGCCACGTGATGCGGATTCAATGCTACTTTCAACAGTATTTCGTGTGGAAAAGTTGAAAACCATCTGTTAATGTACAATATGAGTCTAACTTCCGAACTAAAAATCATGTGGTACGAAATCGTATGGTGCCATCCGGTAAAATAAATAAAAATTGATCGTATAACGAAAATATTAAAAACTGATATTTTTAAACGATTTTCGATTGAAAAAAAGAGAAAAAAAAACATAGCCAATGTAGACGTTTTATACAACCCCCGCGTTTCGTCCGATCTTGACGTGAATTTCATGCAAATCGCAAATACCGATTTATTTTAAAATTTCGAAAAGCACGCACATAGTTTGCTGCAAAACAAATTGATGTCTTTAACGGTCTACGATTACATTTTGTTCTTCACGACTACGTGTAGAGTCGTCAAAGTAATCGTTTTAATTTTGTAAAATACGAATCCAGCAACGGAAAAGTAAATCAATATTGGTTTAGATGTTTAATCAATAGTCGTGATGATGACAGTTAACACCAATAGTCGAGCGTAACGCATAAACACTCAGTTAAGGTTGGTTGACAGCAGATGTGTTTTGAATTTTTTTTTTTTTTTATTCGTTTCGATTAAAGCGTACGATGCACGCGATACAGCCTGTGCACGTCAAGAACCCACCAAGTTCCTGAAGTCGATTTGTAACCCTACAGTGCGAATCGTTTTTGCAACGATGGCGGGTCAATAAAAACGTCAAATGATTCACTTGTTACTTATGTAACTAATCCGTGAGCTAACTACGCAGATGACCAGGGCAGTAAGGCGGACACGAGTTTGATCATAGTAATCTTTATCCGGTACTTGATTGAAAACGTCCACGTGGAAAACCAATCCGTCGTTATGCAAAACATACCTAGTGTACCGTACGGATTTCGCGATCGACCTTTTGTGATACCTGCGTGTTGTCCCCACGACGAGCGCAGGAATTTTGAGCTAACCGAATTTGCACCCTGTAATCATTTTCTAATGTAGAAAACGATCCAATTCGATCGTCGAAATAAACAAACAAAAACATTTACGATAATTGATACGCGTTACTACAATCCATTTATGATTTTATTCAAGGTAAATATAATACTCGTATTTTGCAACTCGTGTAAATTTTAAGTTCAACGTGAATGTTAACAATGGTGCAACTGATAATAATAACGTTTAAATTGAAAATTTAACAACGTAAATCATCAGTGTACCGTACACCGAACGTACTTTGTTTTGACGCCTTTAGCCAAAAATAAAAAAGGCAACGCGTGTTTATGACACCAGTGGCGTCATTTGGATCGCACGAGATGCACATTTGCGTATTTAAAATTCAACGTTATGGTAATTTGGCGTGTCTTTTTAATTTGTTTGGCTCGTACATACACTCGTTTATAGATCTATGATTACGAAATATGCATACATAGAGAAAAAAATGCTTTGAACCATTTATACAGTACAACAGTAGACTCCACTTAACGGAGACACCGAATAATTAGGACGACCACTTAATGGGAACCAATTCTTCAATTACCAAACCAAGCTAATTATTACATTGTAAATGTTTAGAACTTGTTCGGGTCGCGAAACCGGATGATTGGGACATTTTTGTTGAGTGTAACAGTCAGACAGCAGTTAATACGGCGACATCGGGACTGATGAAAAATAAAAGAATTTCTAGTGATTGAAAACTATCGGAAACCTCGTAGTTTTTAACGGATTGGTTTACAATACGTTTACCCGTTGAGATCTCACAAAAATAAAAAATAAATGCTTGGATGAAATCAGCTATTTTTATCGAATGGTTGCAGCGTTTGGATAAGGACTTGAACAAAACCAAAGTATCTCCTCTTAGACAACTGTACTGCTCATTCTAATGTCTAACTATGGAAACCAGAGAAGCCCCGCAGACGTCCAAGACGGTATGATCAATGAACATTGTTCATACTACATACATCAACAACCAGAGAAAATTAATAAAGTAATATTGATCACGCTATTTATTTAGACAAATTAAATATCTATTTTTGTTATAGAGTATTTATTTTTTATTATTCGTTTAATTTTATATAACAGCTGTATGTATGTAACATATTTATTAGAAAACAATTCTTCTACAATATTGATAAATCAATGATTAACCATCACCAACAAAATGTTATGTTTTTATCTTGTAATTTCGTATTACTGAGACAAAATAACACACGACCGATGTTACTTGATAAACGGAATCTACTTTATTAGATTTAATTTGATATTTATGATAATATCATTATAAAATCGCACAAATGAAATGTATCCTCGACAAACCTTCCGTGTGAGGTTAGGTTTCCAAGCACCACTATATAACAATAAAACTTATTGCGTTTTCGATAACCTAACCTGACCGTCGGATCGCTGGAAAATGTTTTGTGTACGGGCCCACCCTGGTGTTGCGCGAGAAACCGTCGCGGAACACGTTCCCAGGCTAACGAATTCGTTTCGCGGCCCTTGTACTTATTTACTTACTTTACGTTTTACGGATGTATATACGCAGCCGTCAACAATACAAACGACGAACGAATAAAAACAACGCAGAGATAATATTTAAAACGCAGTGCTGTAAAAACAATTACCATTGCGATAAACGGCCGACGGCACCGGAAACGCGTGCGAATAATACGCGCGATAATATGTGCTCTTATTATTTTCTACCGGTGCATTACAAATGTACAACCGGGTAATTTCGACGACAGCAAACATACGGTTTTCGCCAACCACTCGCATGCATTAATCGCGCGGCGTGCACATAAAAAATACCTGAACGGTGTACACGCGGAGAATATCTGATTAGTACAATATTACAATATTTACGGCGTACAGGAGGTCCGACAAAACGTGCGAACCGCAACTTTGACGCGGTTGTTCCCCAAGTACTGTGATGTGCAATGAGAAGGGATATTTCGAAACGGTCGTCACTTTTTGGTCGCCTAAGAAACATTTTATTTTACCGTTTGAGGTACCTACATTTGTATAATACGAATAAATAAAAAATAATCTAAATCAAAGCAATTACCGTTCCTAAATTCAATACGTTTAGGTTGGTGCGCTCATATTTTATTTATTTTATGTACTATACATATTCATTTATATTCCCGGGTTAATTTAAAAATGAACTTTAGATAAAGTTTGTTTAAAAAATATGTGTTTTGGAACATGGACAGCTATAATTAGAGCCCAGGCTCCGGATATAAATATCCTAAAAATCATCAAGAAATGATTTAAAAAAAAACGCTAAAAGTGCGCTTAAAAATTACATGTTAATAGGTACTTATCTATTAAATGTAGGTATAATGCATATAGTTTTATAAGTTATCTTTATAATTAAAAAAAAAAAAAAAAAACCATTGAATATTTATTTGAAGAAAAAAAATTAGGTTTTAAAAAATATGACTTTATGTGACGGCCGGCAGCGATTAAAATATTTGAAAAATTTAATAAATTATCATTAGATAATATAAATTATTAAGCCGTATGGTGTATAAAAATCCGTTAATCTAATGCGATGTCTGAGAAAAAATTGCTCTACAAATTATATACTTGGAAAACATATTGTATAATATGAACCAGACCCTTAAGCGCACTTTGCATTGAAATCCGGGCACTGATCATTACACATATAATATTTTATACGAAGACTAAAACACACGCTCACATGTTACACTAGTATATGTGAAAATTAAAAACATCTTTTACACAATTTGTTTCCCCCGAATACAAGCGTATAGTAAAGTAGTACTACCCCGGCTGATATGTAACGGATTCGATTCGAAGACGTTTTAATGCAAAAACGCGAAATGTATACGTTATTCGATCGGCTGCGAAGAAACGAAAATATTAAGTTCTAATTTACTAAGTGTAGTGTTATGACTCTTCCAGATAGCGTAAAATTATTATTTTATTTCTACATCTGTCCCGGTTCGTTACGGCAGGTGCGATCTAGCCTTACGCCTCGAACTATCATAATTTAAAATAAACACGTTATACATTTTCTAAACATCTTAATAATATAAATACAATTATAATACTATTACACCGAGCAGGAAACGTTTCTAGTTTATTATTTTACTCTCGCTTCTTTCGGCATGGATAACCAATATTTCTACTGTTAATGTCTTTAATTTGTGTACGTATTCATAAATTATAACGCCAATGGAAAAAGAGGGGTATTTTCAAATTATTTGTGGAGGGGGCTTAAAATTTTTCTAAAAAATTACTGATTTTATATTATAAAAAATACGTATTAAACATGAATTAATAATTATACTATTCTATTATTGTAATTATTAACACAAATTAAGTTATTTACAACCACACAATATAAATGAATCTTTTCTTCTGGTGGGCCGAAATCTGAGAAACCTCCCCAAAAATATACCATTAGCCTATGGAGTAAATACCTTATTTGGGGCATTATAATCATTAACATGATACCACTTACAGACTTTTTTGTATTAGATTGTCAATCATCGATATAAATTATAATACAATAGTGCTGAAAACTCAGAAAACAAAATTAAATTACAGTTTATTAATAATTTATATAAAATCGGGTTAATATCAAACACTTTCACATCAAAATTTGGAATACTTATTCAATATGAAAAGAAAAATAATTTTTGTTTTTGACATTTTAGATTGAAGTTTTTTATTGAAGATTTAATTTTTTAAATTGCATTTATATAACTAGTATTGTCTATTGTTGTTAATGAATAATCATTAATAGTAGAAAAATATTAAAGTGTTTAATTAAAATTATATTATAATAAAAATAACTACCCTTATTTGATATCAGTATTATGGTAAATTAAGATATTCATAGTTGATGGTTTAACGACTTACCCAAAGTAATATCACTGCAAAAAATAAAATTGTACACACATTATGATTCATTTTGAAAAATAAATACTTTTTAGCTATTTGTAAGATGACAATAACTACATGTACTCTCGAGTATTGAATAGGATAATTGTATATTGAAACTTGGTACTTATAGCACAACTGTTAATATGTTGATGATTGATGAATTGACAGGACACGTGACAAAGTAAATAAATCCAAAACAAAAACAAACAATTCATATTTCACTTGAATTCATATTTTATTTAAACAAATAACTAAAAAAACACCCTTTGTATAGTTGATTATTGTTTTAAACACTTAAGCTGTGTTCTACAAACTAATAACATAAAAAGTATATAATTAAAAAAAAAAATATTGATCCATTATTTATGACATCAGCAGTCTTGTTGGTTGTGAAAATAAATGAATCACTTTGATTTAACGAATTAAAATATGAAATATTAAATATAAGTAGTGATATTAGTGAAAAAATTATTAAAAATATTTTTCCAAACTCTTTTCCAAACCCTGAAAAAAAAAAAAGATAAAAGATAGAATATAATATATTGTCTAAAGATATACATTTTTTAAATAAAATAGTTTTTATACTACACTATACTACACTACCTACACTAGCGGTTCCCAAACTGTACGCCAGGCAGCCTCCCTTGGAAAAGGCAAACACTTATAAAGGGAAGCGCAAGGAAAATATTTAAATTGTACTACGATATATTTATTTTTAAATTGACAATAATTTGCTTATATTTAAATAATAAAAACATTTTTATTGAGTGGTGATTATTTTTTTTTTGTTTTGGAAATGTGTGACCTAAAAAAAGTTTGAGAACTGCTGATCTACACAATACTTAAAAATTATAAAATACTAATCCTTTAAGTAAGGAAAGTATTGAAGGAAGATTAAATAAAAAATATTTGGAACAGTAGATTAATAGTTCTGACATAAAATTTTTAAACAATAATACACTGAAGTCATAATGAAAATGATAAATGAGAAAGATACTTTTCATACAATAATTGCATAATGTGTACTTATAATACTTTTTTCATTTTTTTGTTAGTAACTTAAAAATTTTTATTGAAAAACAAAAATTTCAGGAATACAAATTGGAAAACATAAATTCAGACGGTATCAATCTTTTTAAATTTAACAATTATATATTTAAAAACCTATACTACAGTTTTAAAATATTATTTTTTAAATAAACCTTGTAATAGTATGACTAAAATCATTTTGTAATAAATTATATTACCAGTGGGCTGACATTAGCAGCATGTCTCTCAACAGGAATTCCGTTTTTGTCAACAATAAATTTGGTGAAATTCCATTTAATAGAACTGAAAAAAAAATTATTTTAAGATATTCAATTAGTGTAGGTATAATAAATATAAATTACAAATATAATAGTATTAGTAATAGTTTATAGAACTCTTAAAAAAAATATATTTTAATCTAGATTATATTTTCAAATCTACAATAATACAAAACAGTAAATATTTGCGTGGTGCTAATTCTAGTTTTGAAATTGATCATTTTAATGACAATATTTTAAAAATAATGAAGGTCTAATAGTTTTAAAAATACTGTAGTGTACATTTTTATAACTTATACAAGGAAATGAATATAACAAATTTTCATATATATTGATTTAAGTAAAATTTCTTGTACATGATGGCTTAAATCACTAATCATTTTTATCTCATGATAATTAATGAGCCTCATAAATTATTATCGAAAGATTGTTACATCGAAATTCATTATATCAGAAGCATAAATCAAAATAATTTGTTTAAACGATATTTGAAAGAAAATTTAGATTTTATTAGATTTTTATAGTTACACATCTACACACATATTAGATTATTATTAAATATTTTATTAGATACATTTATACATTTTTTGTTTATTACATACATACTTATTTATTTTTTTAAAAAATCAGTTATTTTTTTTTTTATTGTGTATATCCACTTGAGCTTACGCGATTAATAGTGTTGTCCAAATTTAGAATATTACAAAATACAGTCATCAATATCATGTATTTGTAAAAAATTTAAGGCGACGCGGAGACATAATTTTGCTTCATTCGAGCTTACGGGGAATCTTCGGAATACTCTTCTTCGTCATCAGTAAGGCAGAGGACTTGAAGCATTTGCATATTTGTTTTGCATAGTCACAAAAATAGCAGAGTATGAAACAAATACGTTTCATGCTTTCACAAAACTAATTTTGAAATTTTATTTTGCATATAGATGCATATTTTGAGTCCTTTTTGTTTTTAGGGCATATTTTACACTTTTATACGCTATTTTATACTTCTTAAGACATATTAAACTTAAATTGATTTTTTCCATAGTGACATTTTTATGTCAAACAATACAGTCAAAATGTTTGGATAAAAATTTATTTATTTTTAATTTTTGTCGTATAATATGGTTTTTGACTGTCCGCGGGCACACATTTTTCCTAGAAGTGATAACGATCTAATGTCGTTTCTTTAGAGAAAATTAAGAAAATTAAGTAAAATGTATTTTGTTCATTTGGCTATGGTATATAATATATTTAAATTATGTAATTGTTTTGCCTTGTTTTTAATGCTATTTATTTTATTAATACTTTTAAATAAAAAGGCTAAAAAAATGTTTAAGTGCATATTATGGGGTTTTTAAGTACATAAGTGCTTGCATATTTAGAGCTACAAGTCCTCTGCCCTAGTCATCAGCTATATTCAAAATCTCATAGTCATTGAAAACTCCACAGATAGCCAAATCTTTGTCGATAGCAATAAATTTATATTTATATTTAACAAACCTGTATCATATAAACGATACATGAATATTATCTTATCACATAATAATAGTCAAAACAAACTCGTAAGACGTGGAGTATCAATCTTCAAAATTGTAAAAATTCATTACATTGTGTGAACTTTGGCCAAAAAAAACTTTGTTATATTGAGAGTTGACTATAGTTAACAACAGTCATAATAAAATTAAAATTAATAATGGTTAATACTAGTAAATTAATATATAAATAAATGCAAGCTTAGCCTAGAGTATTATTATACTTATAAAGTATGACTGGTTAGTAAAATAAATATACCCTGAAAAAGTAATATTTTTACATGGATCAGATAAATAGTATTATAAATATAATTTTTATATTATTATAAATAATATATTTTTCAGCTTAAAAATAAAGAAATTTTTCAATATTTCATGACTTATATTTATAAATATTTATTTACACATACAGAACTCTTAGAAATAAATATGTTCAAATATTGAATTTCAGTATGTAAAAATAAAATCAACACAGATACTTACTCAATCAATAAGCCACCTTGTTTTGATTTCAAATACTTCCATAATGGATGTGCATCATCACCATTGACATTAACTTTTTCAAACATGTCAAACTTGACATTTTTTTTCTCAGCAAAGCTACAAATACTGTCAGAATCACCAGGTTCCTATAAGATATGAATCATCAATAAGTCAAATATACAATTGCAGAGTTAAATTTTTTATAGAATTAAAAATAGATTTTTTTTTTGAGTAGAACAAGGAATGTAGTTTATTAGAACTATTATAAGGTTTTATCAATGATTACTATCACTTATTAGAAGGGAATTCTGTGATTCCTTTACCTCTTCAAAATGAGACACATATGCAGAAGTAACACCTTATGTAGCTAAGTAGTATAGAAAATCCTGAAGAGGAAAATAAATAATTTGATTAAACAGCAGAACACAGAAGTTGCAGAAGTTGGTACCTGCAAGAATTGTTGCACAGCGCTAGGAGTTAAATCAATACCTATGAGCATCATTCATTGTCAATTCCATGGCACTAACACTGCATTATACTGGCTTGCTCCCCAGACTACAATAATTAATATGAATTTAATTAAATTTTTTAAAGTAAGAAACATGGAAGCTATAAATGTCAATATTAAACCAGATTATCATTAAACATTGAAAAATAATGAAGGGATTATTAAACTATATAAATATTAATTACAAAAGTAATTAAAGATGGTACTAATATATCTTTTGTTTACCAAGGTGTTTGGAATATATACTACAGAGCAGAAATACTAAGCCAGTAAAAATAGTATAATATGTAACTATTGTTTTAGATGTGATAAATGTTTGGTTGCCCTATATAAACATTTTACTCACAATCTTTCTACCCTATATGTTTAATTCAGTTAAGTACTAATAATGTAGTTAATAATTAATTAAATTTTAAGTGTATAAAAATACTTTGAATACATTTTTAAATATTATTTCTAAATGTGGAATAAAATTACAGTTATTGATGATTTATTTTTTAAAATATAAATTTCCTAGAGTTTCTGTTCACTATAAAAAAAAAAAAAAACTATAAGTACTCGTATAAATTCAAATCACTATATCACTATAGACCTCTACTAAAAGATTATAATTAAATCGTTCATAGAATAATACGAAACTATTTAAATAATAAATAAAACTTTAATATTCAAATAATCAGTTATTTCAGGAGCAATATAATTAATCTTTATTTTTACATATAATCAATAGATGATAGTAAGTTTAACGAAAGTAAATTATACATTTTAAGAGTTAATATTATGGTATGTTTTATTTGTTTTTCAAAGGTCACTGGGCCCTAGGTAAAAATTCCTGCCTAGGCTCTTTAGTATCCAGACCGACCCTGTATTTATCGATATTTAAAACAATTACATTTTTTTTTATATCAAATACTTCATATGAGTTAATGATTGATAAGATTAGTTAACATTTAAGGTACATTTTGCTTGGTTCTGAATACTTTAAAGTTTTCCAAATTACTTATGAGCCACAGAAAATGCAGTAATTTAAGTCTTATACAAATACAAACTCACACCCACACATAAATATATATAATTTAGTTACTTATTTTTAGTTTATTTCACTTATAATTACATGTTTAAAATTACTTAATATTAGTGTACTATGACTTATTTTAGGTGTTTTTAAATAATATTATCTGTGTTTAATCATAAGCTATTATAAATATATTGATTTTAAGAAGTGATAAACAATTAAAAAAGCATATAATTAATACACTTCAATAACTATTATTATAGGCTATAGTACTATTATAACAATCATACAGTTACAATAATTGTGAAAAGTAACAGTCCTTCCAAACCATGTATTTGTAAGATAATAAATAACAAACCGATTAAATTAATGCACTCAATATACACAATATTATAATGAAAAGTAGAATAATACATATTAATTTGAAATAGCTGAGAAGGTTAAGAGTACTTAGTTAAATACATCAATAGATCATTGATTAAAAAATATTAAGAGATTAACATTGACTTTGAATCGAATTAAATAAGTAGAATTATAATAAAAATAATATATATATCAAACAAAATTATAATTAAATATAAAATTAAAAATAAATATAAATAAATCATTATAATTGTATTATTATTTCTAAAATAATAAAATACAATGCTTATTTAAAAATAATATTTCCTTGCTGGTTAAATTTAAAACTTTATTTATAAAATAGTACATGTACAAAGTACATGATTAATGATTAATCAAAAGAATGTTACATTCAACAGGTTTATATCGAAGTTATAGAAAATAATGATAGTAAAGGAGCAAATTTATATTATATATATTATAATCAGCTTGATACTTCAATGAAGAAGTTATCTATTACATATTTACTTTAAAACTTTTTTATTGCTATAAGAAATTGTTATAAAAGAATTTGGTTTTACCTGGCCCCCAAATTGATTGCATGGGAAACCGAGAATTCTTAATCCTTTTTCGCGATACTTCTCATCTAACTCAACCAGCTCTTTGTAATGCTTGGATGTATAGCCACATTTAGAGGCTACATTAACAATGATCAAAACAAAACCTTTGTAAAAACAAAAATATTAAATTACATATTAATTAAATGCGATTAAATTTTTAAAAAATTCATCTTTACTTGTATTTTTCCAAAGACACGTCTTCTCCCTTGATGTTCTTTACTGTGAAATCGTACACAGAAGTGGCATTTTTCCAATCTTCAGACATTTTGGTAGCTGAGTTACTTAGACTTTTGCTCTGAAACTGTAAGTATAACAAAAATTGTAAAAACGAAAATAACCAAACAAATGATATTATAATATACAGTATACATTTTTAATGTAGTAACCTATTTCATTATAAAGTTTAGTTGTGTTACAGAAACTATATACACGTAAAATAATAATCTTTAATACATTACTCACAGACCAACAGCTCAAGGCCAATGTGACAACCAATGTAAATACACATGAAATGCTACTTGTTGAAATGTTTATCATTATTTGAGCAACTACGTGAACATTAACTTATGGACGAGACGTTCACCTAGATTCAATAGGTCCTAACAGCGGACATCACAACTTAGATAATTATCGTATTTTATTCGAACATAATTATCATAGAAATAAATTATGTACAATGTAGCTATTTACATTCAGAGACAAACAAATGTTTTTCGATAAACGCTGTTTTCGTATAATCGACGACTTTAATAAAATTAGATAACACCCAGTAAAAACCAAGTTAATTATAGTTATAATAATAAAAATGACGTTTGTATACGCCCCACATGAAATATTGCATCATAGGGCACAACAAAATCAATGTCGGTCGACGTGCGACTTAAAAGGTACCTATTTGCGACAAATCGTTGACGAATTTCGTCAACGGCTATGTTTTAATAATACGCACGCGTGCAAGATGATATTAAAATAGAAATTGACCGCAAAAATTGTAATAATATTATTAATTTACTTAAGATACTCACAACGGTCGAAGAAATGTACACGGACGTCGGCAGAACACGGCGAAACAAACCCATTGCCCGGAATCACTTTATGTCTAGGACCGACCGGTCGATGGAGTCAATTGCTTGCGTCGAGCGCTATCTATACTACACTTTTCTTTGCGCACGGCTCGGTTCGCCTGATAGCGCTACCCGTTGTTGATAGCAGTTTCCAAATCCAAATGGCGGTGGTTGAAACTAACGACTGTATTTTAATAAATATATTACAAGCAGAGTTCATAAGTTAATGCACTAAAAATCTCATTAATAAGTATATAGCAAAGCTATGAAATTGCTGTATTATGGAAATATTGGAGATATCATGAATAGCCAATAAAAAAATAACCACCTAAAAAATTCTGCCCTTTAAAGTTACAAATTATTAAAACCATGTTTAGTGTTATATTATTTTTATAATTTTTAAAACTTTACATTGAAAACTAAAGTGCAAATAAAATTATAATTTTCAATTTGTTTTTTAATCTCTTCAGCTTCATTTCGCTCATCTAACTTCGAGCAGCAAAGTATACATTTTGTTCAAGCTTTTTGAATTTTAATAAATCTAATTTTAAGCGCAAAAACTCCATCATAACGACCAACTATATGTACAGTGAAACCTCCCTTAACGGACACCTTTAAATAGTGGACACCTTCGAATAGCGGACGTTTTATGGGAACGGGAAAATTTTCACTACTCTCATATAGGAAAACCCCTAAATACCGGACACTCTAATAACGGACACTTTTATGGTAATTTTATTTTGATTTTCACAATTTCATTGAAAATATAGAATAATCGTTGAATGCCTATCTAATCTAATCTCACTACTAAGTATTAATAATTGTAAAACTATAATTCGTCGCTTAAGAAGTAACACCGCCTATCTCAGTTTTATCAAATCAAATTCTGTGTAATTGGTGGTACATTTTAGATATGTTGTGTTATCATTTTATCGATTAGTTCGTTATCTATTGACTTTATTCTAAATCTAATAGCACCAGTGAATTCCGCGCGAAATTTCCTATAAGACAGTGTTGCTAACACAATTTACCCAAAAAGTGTGATGGGCGGTGTTACTTCTTAAGCGACGAATTATTATAGTTTATTTTATCTATCCATTGATTCATCGCGTCGATTGAAACATTTTTCTATATTATGTTCTGTGAAGTTGTATGGCTATACAAATTGCCATTACTTTACCTACAACTTCATGTTCAGTAGGAGGATCTTTCAGGTAACAATTTCTATATTATATTTCTCATTTTTTATTCGATATATTATTCTTATAAAATAAATTGTCATTATATTTTTAGTACATTACGTCGTTTGACTGAGAAACAGAATGGGAAATGAAAGGTTAAGTAGTTTAGGTCTGATTAATATTTATCGGCAAAGATACGAAAATTAAGGAATTTTTTTAACAGCAATTAGAAGGTATTATTGAAAAGTTTAGATTGAGTTCCAGGCGGTTGGCATTGCTTTTCAATGATTAATAATGTATTAATGTTAACAATAATATACATTTTTATTAGAAGTTATAAATAAAATGAGTTATGTTTTAAATATATTTTGTTATATCTATCATTAATGATAAATAATATGTCATTTAATTAGTATTAGGGGGGTGTGATGGGCAAAGCCCCACCACAGCTTATATTGGCACTAAAAATATTTTGCACCTGAGCTACATCTCTGCGGGCGTGCCTGCCTCTCCCTCCTCTGAATAATGGACACTTCTAAAAAACAGACAAAATTATGGCGACTTAGAGTGTCCAGTATTTAGAGGTTTCACTGTATATATATACTATAATGGTGATTTGTTTTTGAATTTTCTATATTTCTTCTTGATGGGCCCTCTAGAGTCATTCGTCCTTGGCCCATTGCCTGTCATGCCATCCTATCGGTACGCCATTGTCAATAGGGTGGTAAAATCTTTGATAGTGAAAATAAAATTGAACATTACTGAGTTGGGGCAGCTCCAGGGAGGGGCCTTAGGGGCCAAGGCCCCCCAAGCCCGTACCGTATTTATAAAAAAATGCATATTATAATATGGACTATTATACGACATGCTCAATTATGTATATAATGAGCTATATGAGCTATAGAGGTATGACGATGCATTTCAATGTACCTGCTATCTATATTATGAAGAACCAATAAAGCTATAAATACAACCCCTTAACCCCCCCCTGCGTGCGCCACTGCTATTTCGGATCCGTGTTCTCTTTCTTATGTAAATATGATAAATCAAACGATCGCAATACGATGCTTCTAATCCGATACGATTTCGTCGCTTATCCGATATTGCGGTGATCGCGTCGTTCAGGTCGCGTACGCTCCGATTCGTTTCCGGCAATTTGTGTATTTTTAAAACTCGTATTGGCCGCATCGTATTGCGATTATCGCGGTATTCGTGTTTACGTAGGGGACACGACATTGTTCGGCGGTCCCAACGACTTGGAAAAAGCCAGATAAAAACGGAAAGTTTTTTCAATTTCGTCATTCGTTCGACGACAGCGAAACGCGTAATTACGATATAGCAACAATCAAAGTATTGACGCTCATAGGTCACGGATTATAATCACCTAAAGGTCACGGTCGAGCGTTCACGTTGTCCCGGGTACGAAATGGCGGAGTGCGGCCGCGGTAGGTATCTCTTGGAGTGCTTGTAAAAGCTTACGTGGCGTGCAGATGCTAGTACGGCGGCGTTGTTGATTTCAAACGGTACGTATCGGTTCTGGAAAACAATAAGACGGATTTACCGATCCTGAAGAGAAACAGACACAGTGATGCGCGGAGAACCGCAAAAAAACTAGTATCGCGTACACCCGGGTAACGATGGTTGAATGTTGAACGGTCGCCCGGACCGCGTTCCCGGCCGAATTTCGATTTGCTCGCGCGACGGTCTGACCAATACGGCACGGTGTCGTTCGTCGGGCGCGAGTTTCCGATCCGTACGCGAAAACGTAGTTATTTTTAAACCGTCCGTTTTGGGCGCGACGCAATTTTTTCTTCTAGCGAAAACACGACGGCGTTCAAGCTGACGCGTTAAGGTTAACAGGTGACAGCCGTGCTCGGTTTACACGTAATTATTTCGATGTACCCATTGTAGTAATAATGCTGGTGTGTTTTTCTCGCCGGCGTATGTTATACGGTTATTTTTGCTGTCAGCCGAGCCACAGCGAAGAAAACTAGAAACATTGCAACATTGCCATTCGCATCAGTCACGGTGAAAAAAATCACAGTTTTCAATGATGGTCTACGGATTATTGTTTTTTGTTTTATATTTTAACATCTGATCCTAACGGGTGATCAAGCAGCAGTAGGTAGTGCTGCTAACACGTTAGAACTTTTCATCTTCAGTGTACAGTGCCGGGTTAATAAGGGTTTTTGGGAAAAATTATTAATTTATTATTGAAAAATATTAATAAAATTGTATAAAATTATAATAGTTGTTTTATATTATATTAAACCGCTGAGTTATTTCGTCAGTGGGCGTTCAGCGTATTAACGGTAAAACTATATTATTATTATTTAGTGCTCGGATCTATGCATATTTATTTTCGTTACATTGACACACAATTGTGTTTGTTGTATTATAATGTCTATAAGTGTATTATAATTTATAACCGTCAAATTATTACATTTGATATTAATAGTTTCAAATAATTAATTTATACACTACAAAGCAATTGTTTTTATTATATCTTTCTCGAGTTTCGTGGTCATAGTTGTCGTCGTTGTCGAGTTCGATTCACGAATCACGATTGATTGAAAAACAAACGTGCTTAATATTTATTTTCAATCAATATGAGTGGAAAGCGCATACAAATGCATATATTGAAATATGTGAATTGTTTGGTTTTTTTTAAAAGTGAAAGGAATTGACGATGATATTTTACGATAAAAATCAAAGCAATTAGTAAATATTTATAGTGAAGATTTAGAACCGGACCTTGAGAATGAGATAATCTAATTTAAAATAATAATGAAATATTTTTCAGAAGATAAAAAATTATATAATCACAGTTTTCTTGAAGCCTTAACAGCATCAAAGTTAAACGATTAATATTATATTAAGAAAATAGCTTTACAACTTTTTATATCTATACCATGTTCAAATGTTAGCGGAAAGAGATCCTTCTCATTTTTAAAAAGAGTCAAGAACTACCAGAGAACCTAATTATTAAATGAAAATATGTCATCGTTGGCTCCAATGTCTATTGAATATTGCCATAAAAAGTACAGATTGGAATGATATTATTAAAGAGTTTGCTGCACAGAAAGCTAAAAAATAGTTGTAAATTTCTTATATTGAATAAATTTGTAATAAAATGTTTATATTTAGTACCTACTAAGGTCTATAAATTTAAAAATTACCGATGTTAGATATGTTTATTAATATATATTAATTAAACAATCTTTACTATGTTAACTAACTAACTTATATATGTATATTTTAGTTTGTGGAGGGGGGTTGAAGGGTGGAAATTTAAAATCTGGTACCATGCGTCAAATTTGTTAACCCGGCACTGTCGGTGGTAAGAACATTTATTTTATGGTCTATCGATTTGACGGTATAGCCGTTTGAGATTATTGGATTTGTTGACTTACATGTAAATGAATTTACTTATTGCGTGCCGATAATCATGCTGGGGTAGATTGACCTCGGAGATTCGAGAGTTTTTACGATGGACTGGACTACTCTGTAGACTTGGCCGTAACTCAATATCATTAACTACGACCGCGTGCTGGTCTATTAACCATTTTCCTGCACTGACATGTTGTCCCGGTCCGCTCTTGTAAGCATATAATATAGGTTTTAATATGTATAATGCAATGAAACCTCTAAATACCGGGCACCCTTGGTGGCTGAAATGTTGTCCACTATTTAGAGGTTTTCGGTATTTAGAGGGAGAATTATAATATTAGAAAAATAAAAAATTGAAAGTATAATTAAAAAATTTATTTATTTAAAATTATTTATAGATAAACATAGGTACATAATAAATTTAATTTATTTTAATTTTAATTATTTTTATGTATTTTTAAAACTGAGCAGGTAAAAATATAAAATGATTGATAATATAAAAATTAAAATTAAGATGTATTAAAAAAATCAGTTACGTTAAATTGTTTCGTATTTTGACACAAAATCATTTCGTAGGTTAATGCATTTTCTAATTACACTGTGTTGGAGAATAATGAAGTACATTTCTGTATTTCGATAGAAGAAATGTATTTACGTATAGGTATATTTACCTACCCTTCACTGCTGCCAATGCCTCCTGTAGACTTCCAACGTCAACGTCATAAAATTTCCATGACTGGACGGATAACATAAGGTATAACAGTTTTATAAAGTATAATGGGTAATATAAATAAAAGACGATTTACGAGTGTAGACTTTTACCTAGACATTCTGCAATTATTTTTCTAAATTTATGATAGAAATTATTAAAATCAAAATTTAAAATTTCCATAAAAGTGTCTGTTATTTAGAGTGTCCGATATTTAGAGGTTTTCCTGTAGAAAAATAGTGAAAATGTCCCCGTTCCCCAAAAAATGTCCACTATTTAGAGGTATCCGTTAAGGGAGGTTTCACTGTACATAATATATGTTACCAATAATACGAAACTAAATTAAATCTTGCAGTCGAACACATTGATCATTGAAGAGCTATGACGAACAACAAAACAAGATAACAAGTAACGTATATATAACTGGAAGTTGATTAGTCACTAAACATTTTAATTAGATTATATCTTTATTAATTAGACATGTGTTTTAAGCGTTTCTAATTTATATTTACTCCAACGAAGAAATATATATTTTTTTAGTGTACTTATTTGGGTTCTGAAAATAAAACAAAAATAAGACAAGTAAAATGAAAAATATTGTAAACAATAGGCATCTCAATGCACGCATTTAATTAATTCTGGTTTTAAGGGAGAGGGGTGACTTTTCATCAAACGTACATCAGATTATTGATATACTTTTTGTTACTCAAAAAATAATAATAACTCGGTCGATAACAAATAAAAATAAAATAAAATAAATATATTATATAAAACACACTCCTTTATAACAAAGATTAAATTTAATTGAATTTTTATTTATTCACGTTAGAAAATACGAACTGTGGTAAATAATATCTTTTGTTTTTGACGTTTTCTTTAACTTTGGATGAAATTGCTTTTTCAATCTTGTCATTTGAAATAGTTCCATTTCCGTAGATACTATAAATTTTAATGAACAGCTAAATTAAAGTCTGAAAAACGATTTCTCTGTCTCTTTATATAATAGCTTCCCCGTTGTCTCATATACGGTTAATTGAAACTTTTTTTTTCGTCATCTTTATAAGCACAAAATGTAGCAAATGTTCATTGAAATTAACTGTATAGAACAATAAAGTTATTAAAGACAAAAAGGTTTAATATTTCATTGTAATGATATGAACGTTTAATTTTTATCGAATTTTGGTATCTTTGAATTTTGAAATAAAGTGATCAAAGCATTTTAGACGCATTTTTTCAAATATAAATCTGTAAGAAATAGGTTAAATATTATTATTTTATAATAGTATATATAGAATATGAATATTGTAGTAAAAATACAACGTGCATTTGTTTTTGGTAAAATAAATAATTTCTTATTTCGCATGAGGAATTATTATTGTTGTAATGACCTACATATGAATGTTTACAAAATATCATAACTGTAAGCTATTACTCCATACGAGGCAATAATAAACGAATGTCCATTCATCTATATTTTAAAAGCAATATAAGGCAACAGCAATGATGATCGAGGTAAAATAGACTACGATATACTCGTATTATATAGAATACGCAAAAATTAAGTTGTTCAGAAATAAAATGTTTCGGAAATGGCGTAATATAATAATTACTATCATTGTGGATTTCTGCCTTGTGGTTACTGCGTAAAGGTCATTTCATTTGACGAGTTTCACGAGCTGGTATATTCACTAGAGATATAGCAAATAGGTTATGTTTTTCTCTCTACGATTATTTAACAAGAAATCTTATACGGAGTGTCTATATTATACATATATAGTATGTAAATTATACAATTTATAATAACAATGTACTGATAGTGTCTACAAATGAGTATATTATATTTTATTGTGAAACGTAGACAATGACAATCATGGAAATTTAACTTGGAAATTTATTAGGGGGGGGAGCAAATATATAATTACATATCAAACGAAAAGGGTGTCCGCGGCCAAGGTTAGGTTAACCTAGCTCTAACCTGTAGCTAGGCCCGGGAAAAATAATTTCTAACGGCATCAATGGAACTTTATAAGTAGGTTCCTAATCAAATTATTGTTTAACTGAAAATGTATCTTTGTTACTTAAAGAACCCAGGCACATTTGAATATTTTTAGATTTAATGTTATATCTTAAATAAATCTAGTTTACGCATGATACGTATATCTTATCTATAATAATGATATAATGACCTACCTATTAAGATGAATTTTACAGCATAAAAAATGATTTAATTTAAATATGTTAATACGTTTAATTTTAATTCAGTAGAACAGTAGTCGGTAACTAACGTCTCTTTTATACGGCTCACAGTATATTTTAAAACTAGCAAATGTCATTGAATATCATATACATTTTTTCTATTGTCTGGCCCTAGAACAATTTTTAATTTGTGAATGTGATACAAGGGTCCATAAAGGTTGCCAAACACTGAGTTAGAACATATTGTTTTTAATAAAGTAATTGATTACCAGTAATTAATGACTTAAAGTCGATAGAGAGGTTGGAAACTAGGTACACGCTTGTTATTGACTAAAAAATAGTAATTTTGAGTTGCCCATCTCTGAACTATAGCATAGATT